GCTTCCGCTGCTTTGTTTTGCTCGCTCGTTCGTCCGTTCGTTCGTTGTTTCCTTTACGCCGCATTTTGAACATCGCGAGCGCTTTCGCGGAGTTCCTGTCGGTATCGTGGGCCTCTGGATTAGTAGCGAGATCTGAGCGTCCTTGATCTGAGCGACGCTGTTGAGCTCGGGGTGTTATTTGTTCGTATCCGCAAGTGTCGGTTCGACTTCGGTTCGGTAGCGATCTCGCGGTTATCGTTCGGTAAAAGCCGACGATCGGCGTTGCATGTCGGGAAAAGTGGAGTACTCTTGCGGTTCCTCGCGGTTGATTTTCGTCCTGGACCAATGTGGGTTGTGGGAGCGGCTGCTAGCGATGGTTTGTTTGTGCTTCGATCTATCGGGGTGCTGCTGAATCTTCTCTTCGTCTTAGGAAGATTTAGACTTGGATGGGAACTTGGATGGTAAAAAAAGTGATCTTTGATTATCCTGTGAACGTAGTCGGTGGATGTGTATATGTTTGAAGCAATTCGTAAATGTCCGATGCGATGAGTGGTTGACTATTACTGAAAGCAAGCGAATTGAGAGTTTGGATTTGTGTTATGCAGTCGCTTAATTCGTAGGAACAGATCTGACCTGAATTTTTCCAGGCTTGGGTGGCCATGGAAATCTACACGATTGTCATCGAATTTGTTGATAATAGACAGTCTTCCATATGTCACGATGTCGTTTCTCCATAAGTGTTTTTGGGTGCTTCTTTGCCACTTGTCCTTAGAGATCGTTTCTGAGGTGTCTTAAACTGATGACTAAGAGCATGGAGTAGATTCTTCACACACACACAGATGCCAAGTCTCAGCAGTCCATCGTTTTGCTTGACTTTAACTGAATCTCGCGTAGTTTGTAGGAACATGCCTTTCCAATTAGAAATGCCAAGTCACTGTCAGACTGTCACTCACATCATAGTGAAATGGAATCATCTCTCTTTAACTGGACAGAATCATCTGGAGACAAAAAATGGTAATTGCTGTCAGTGGACTAGATTTATCTCAGCCATCGTCATTGCACAATTTGTTTTATCATCAAACCTTCTGATGAACTGGTTTTGATTCTTTATCCATGTTGTCAATCTGTAACTTTGCAGTAAATAGGTTATTGAGCCATATGTTTACTTTTAGTTCCTATGATCCTTACACTAGAGCTGAATTTGTTCTTCATTAGGTAAGTCATTTGATTTTCTTGCCATCAGAGCAGTTCTATAATATCCAGGAGAGATAAATGCCTCAAACTATGTAATGCTGCTTTTTGCTACTCCTCTCAGTACACTATCTTGTAATGCATGACTTGATGTATCCTACTTCGCAAGATTTTGATTCCATTGGTAGTTCGATGCAGAGTGCCATGTGAGTTTGTAGCTGGTCACCTTCTGCTGCTTTTTGCTACTCCTCGATGCGGAGTGCCAGTCTAAAGTTTTGCCTTTAATTTCTGCATATGGACGGGCCATGTCTTTCATTGTCATGAAGGGCATGGTTAAGGCCTTCTATTGCAATGGGCTAATCCCACCCACCATGTTCTCTTATTTTCATTGTTTCTCATAACTTTGCTAGCCTATTTAGTTGAATGACTGACATGCTAAAATTAGAACGATTTTGTATTTCAGAGCTGGTATGCTGTTGAAAATCAGTGCCACATAATGCATTGAATAGTACATCTCCAAGGAACAACCCCCTTACTCCCTCTCCCATCTCTCATATGCGCACCTGCTCGTGCTCCCAAACTACCATCTAATTTATCTTGTCCTTGTCCTTGCAGGTGAGGACGATAATCTTCTTCAAGGCATTAACGGTTATCGGACATCTTTGAACTTAACAGCCCTTACGAAGAATGATAATGCGGAATGCCTTGCCAAGGAAATAGCTGATCAATTTAAGAATAAACCTTGTACTAATACAACAGGTGCTGACACTGTACCCGGGACTGAGCCTCAATTCTCCAACTTTCCAACACTTTTAGCCAACTGCCATCTGAACGTCTCTGTCACAAGGGATGGGGCAATAATGCCTGCTTGTGTTCCCAACTTGGTCCCAAGCCTTGTCCTCACTAACTTCACCCAGTCTCAGTATTCAGGTAACCTAAATGATAGCAAGTATACAGGAATTGGAATTAGTTCTGAAAATGATTGGATGGTAGTCATCTTAACCACGAATACACCCGAAGGAACCTACTTGACTGTCAAGTCAGCCGGTTTGATTCTGAAAAGCAGTTTCATTTATCAATTGCTCTTTCTACTCATCGGTTTTGTGCTCCTATTGTGAAACTGGTGATAACACGGCCTTATGGCAGTTTGACTGAGAGCAATCAAAGCATAACTACAGAGGATTCATTGCCTTGTTTTAATTTGAAGGAAAGGTGAAATTGCAGAATAATCGAGAGTACATTCTTTTTGTATTAGCTTGTGTTGTGGCTGGAAATATGTAACACGTGATTTGGTTTGAGGATTCTACTATGTTATATGTGTTCTTCGTTTTGCCTTAATTTCTTCCTTTACTTGAATCCTGCGATTCATTTGCAATTGAATTAGTGCAAAAGAGTTACAGGTTGCTTGGTTCTGTCCTTCCAAAAGCTTTCCTCATTACTCCATTTGTTGCTATTAGACCATAAACCTTTTCTTTTCTTTTCTTTTTTTCTTGTTGCTACATTGCATCTCGAGAGCTCATAGACTATTTTGTCTCCAACCCCATCAAAGGCGAGAGACTGAGAGTCGAACCTCGCACTTCTCATAAGAGCAGCTGGCCTCTAGTTCAAAGCCCTAGAGTAGTGATTAACCTTGAATTATCTGTTGCTCTTGCTCATTATTTCCTTGGTGAAGAGTCTAACTCGGGGGCTGTCGCACGATGCCATTGAGACAGGAACTGTATCATCCATGCTGTTGGTTGCTCGGGCATTCTTGGGTGTGGTTGAGTGAGGCTGGATGCCAATAGGTTTAGGACAGCCTATCTGCATATTGAAACTCATTCATTTATTCATTTTGTTGCTTTTGAATTCCGTTCTTTTATGTGGTCAATAAAAAAACTCAGAAGAAGAAAACAGGAGCTAACTACTTGGTCTCTGATAGTATGACTAAACTGCAATTGATGAATGATGGAACCGCGGGACGATATCGTGCGGTAACCGCCCGCGTGGCATATTTCAGCTGGCTATTTCTAGAACTTATGTGTAGCTATTAAAAATGCAATAGCTTCGCCGAACAAAGGTAATAGCCTTCATGGTAGGAAGCATTCTTCTTACTTTCAAAAGGTTCACACTCCTTTAGAAAAACCTTATGTTAAGGAACGGTCTGGGGCCTATGGGCGGGATTCTACCAAATCTGTGTGGCATCGATGAGATATTAGTTGTTTTTGGTTTACTCAGTGCAGTAGATCGAGCTTAAAGTCTATGGATCTGCAACATTCTTGTGCTATCACTGATCGTCGCCAAATTAATCATTCCAAAATATTTACACTTGCTTTACTTCATATGTCAATTGTGTACATGATGCGGCAACCGCTAGAGTTTGAAAGCAGAAACTTCATCCCGGAGAGGCCAGTCTTAATCGCCGACAGCTTATCGAGTTGCAAAGGCAGCTGGGCATCGTGTCTCGGATACATGGCACGTTTGCCTTCAATGTGATGGTGATGGTGGACTTTCGACCCGAAACGGTCGCGCGTTTTTGTTGGGCGAAAGCATCCTGTTAAACACCATCCCTTGAATTGCAAAATGTTGATTGTTTTTATTGAATCCGGCCATCTCCTAGACAAACGAGTCACTTTGTGACAGTGTAGTAGATGGATGCTATGCTCTAACCTACGGCTATGGTCAAAGCTGTCAGCGTGCTTGAGGCTCCTAAGTTCAGACAAAAGGCCAGGCTTTGTGAAGAATGCTTTCTCAGACTCGCGGCTACCCGCAGGATGTCTCACCAGTTTTTCAACTCCTAGAGGCAAATCAAGAGGAGAAAAGAGAAAGGAGAAAAGGTATAAGGCCAAAGCCAAAGCCCATGTATTTTGACCAACGAGAAGAAGAAGCTACTGATCAAACCAGTCATCGCTCTTACCCTCTTGAGGATTTGATTGAAAGTTCTTTAGTAGCGGTTCACAGTTTAGCTCAATCTAGCAACCACTGCTAAAATCAACCATGTTGGAGGATAGTTCTCACCTCAAAATATGAACGGGGATTCGAATGGTCACTCGAGAGACCGATTCCCCGATTGCATCATGCGCTATCTTCTTCCCCAATTGTCCTACGGTACAAATACTTCAAAGGCTCTCAATGGAAGACGGAGATTTGTTCTCTAATAATCCAACGATCGCCAATCTCCAAGAATCGTATCCGTTGGGAATTTCAGAAGTGCCCTTAAAATACTAGACAGAAGAGTGATAATATTGCTGTTTCTATAGTTTGACTTTCTTTAGCATGTTCTCATCCTAGCGCATGGGCTTATAAAAACAATGTGTGATTTTTTTTGAAATAAATAATCCATTTTAAAATTTTGGCTTTTTTTATTTAGTTGAGTTTTCAAATAAATAAAAATATATATTGGCTTGGTTCTCAATATAACTGGATGTACTCTTCATCACTTTGTTATGTCTTAATCAAACTTTTGATATTATCATATAAATACCTGCTCATATTTTACTTAATAGTTTTGTTCTGAAAAGAAGTTTGTGTAATTCTTTATTAATGCTCTGATGGTGCTTTCGAAAGACTACCCCCATAATTACACAATCAATAATTCAATTTTATTTTAGGATTCTATTAAGGGGTTTACCGGGAAAATTGTTAAGCGATCAAATTACTAAAAATTCTTCATTTTCAAAGTAGTACTTTTCTCGTGTTATGAGTGAACAATATTTTGAAAATCGAATTATTATGATTGAGTAAGGTCAACAAGCAAATTCTTTTGAATTATTGAAAACAGTCAGCTCATCAATGTACTTCACTTATGAGAGAAATACAGATTTATTAATGACATGTACACAGATTAGTTCCTGTTCGACTAATGAAGAAGTCATCACAGCTACAGCTAGATACCAGCAATTGCCTGTTTCAGTAGCTCTGGTCAGAATCAGTTGAAGTCTTCTGCTCGCGTTAGCACGCTGTTTATCATGAGGATATGCTCTCTAGTCCCAGTGAAGTACCTACTCTCCTTGATCGATCAAGAAGTCAAAGCTTATATCTTTCCCTATAAATAGCCACCTGCTCCAATCACCCAAAATCATCCCTCAAGGCCTGAACACTGATCCAATCCAAGAAAAGAGAGAAAAAATGCATCTGGTTCAAGCTTTAGTGCTCCTCGCACTTGCCCTTGCCTGCTGTCGTGTTTCAGCATTTCGGCCCTACAAATCCCTAGTTGCACCCATCACCAAAGACACCACCACTTCTCTCTACTCCACCACCTTCAACTTCCACGAGAACTATGTCGTCGATCTCGGCGCTCCGTTTTCTTGGTCCACTTGCCCGTATAAGCACCCTCTCGTGACTTGCAGGTCTGCGCCATGCGAGTCGGCGAGGTCCTACCTCTCCCCGCTTTGTCCTCCATCCAGCAGCTCCACCAACAACCTTTGCCAAAATTGCATCACGACTCCCGTCAACCCACTTACCAAAACTTGCGCTCTCTCTGACCTCACACACAAGAACATCGCCCTTTACGTAACAAATGGCGGACACCCGACTAGTTCTATAACTTTAAATGACATATACATGTCTTGTGCTCCTGGGTACCTTTTGAAGTCTCTTCCTTCGGGCGCTACCGGTTTGGCTTCCCTTTCGTGGGCTCCTCTCGCTCTTTCTACACAACTAGCCCCTCCTTATCTGGGAATAACCAAGAGATTCGCAATGTGTCTTCCTAGTGTTCCTAATGTTAAGGGCACGCTTTTCTTTGGAAACGGCCCATATTTCTTTAGGAGCCCTGCCTTGGTTGATGTATCCAGATTTCTTTCCTACACCCCATTGATAAAGAACCCTAAATCATCTGACTACTACATCGGCCTCGACAGCATATCAATTGCTGGGAAGGCGGTCCGTATCCCGAGAAACGCATTTTCCATTGATTCTGTTGGCCGAGGTGGCACGGTGCTGAGCACTGTGATTCCTTACACTATCCTCAGGAGTGATATATATAACGTCTTCGTCGAGGAGTTCAAGATAGCCACCAAGGGCATTCCTCAAGCGAAAAGGGTGAAGCCCTTCGAGTACTGTCTCAAGTCAAGCGCGATTGCGTCGACTCGGGTAGGTTTACAGGTTCCCCAGATTAGTCTGCAAGTGGCGAGTGGGAAGACCTGGACAATCTACGGAGCAAACTCGATGAAGCAAGTGAGCAAGGATGTGGCCTGCCTGGCCTTCGTGGACGGAGGAAAGGCAGCCAAGCATGCAGTGGCGATCGGGTCTTACCAAATGGAGGACAACTTCCTCGTGTTCGATCTGGCTCAATCAACATTCGGGTTCAGTTCCTCGCTGCTGGGCTACACCACTACTTGCGCCAACTTCGACTTCACAGTTAAACCTTGATGAGATCTGTTTAAGTTGGTGTGGCCCTCAAAGGAACAAGTACCTTTGTGTGCAATAATGCCGTGTGCTTGTGTGTTTGTTATTTCTGGTTGTGTGAAAGAATAAGAAATAATAATGTAGCCCCTAACCAAAAATAGTAAGTAGCTAACTTTGGTTTTTGGGCAAATTAGGCATCTTCTTGTCTATGTCTATGTAATGCACGCTTTGAAGTTTAAAATTGTCCTTTTTATATTTTGAATGTCAACTGAAGCAATTGCCAAGCTCTTCCAATCAGATAATACAGAATGCACATCTTGCTAATAATCCCGGTCGAGAGATAAAGTTGCTCTTGCACACATTTATACCATCCATCAATCTAAGCCTGGATTTTTTTGAAGAATTTGATAATACGAATGTGATCAACAATGGTAAAGATTTGTCACGTGTGCACATGCACTTAGGTAACTAATTATGATGCTATAAATAGATCCAAGATGTTCAAATGGCAGATCAATGGAAAAAACAACTTTATTAGCCGAGGATATAATAGAAACTGTTAGGATTCGCCGCACAATCACAAAGAAAATAGAAAGTAAAAGCGAGAAAAAGAATTTAAGACGCAAGGTTTTATCCTGGTTCACCCTTAAATTAGAATTACGTCTAGCTGAAGATTCTACTATAATTAGCACATCGCACCTTTCATTACATCTCTCAATTACAAGAGAAATAGACTATATATAGGCAATAGTTTGATTCAAAATACGAAACCCCTTTCTAGGAAACCTACTCTAATTAGGAAATCCAATTAAGAAACCATTCAATTAGGAAACATATTCAAAATAGGAAACCTAATTGAATCAGGAAACTTTCATTTTTCGGGCTCAAACTATAAAAGCCCTCTAGCAACTTAGGATCGCTGCTCCCACGACTCTCACCCGCTAACCAGGGAGTGAGACCCCCGTGCCTTCCTATCGATGGAGAGTATGAACCATACCCCAACATTCTCCCACTTGGTGAATACTCCACATGCTTCTTCAAACCTAACACAGTTGTACACCATTCAAATTTTTCTGCACTCATTGCCTTGGTAAAAAAATCTGCACTATTCACCTGTGTGTCAATTTTCTCTGGTACCACAACCTTCTTATTGCTTCATGTACATATCTTCCTCCAAGTCACCATGGAGGAATGCTGTCTTCACATCAAGCTGCTGTACCTACAGATTATATGCAACTGCTACAGATAAGACAAGTCTTGTGGAATTTGATTTAACAATAGGAGAAAAAATCTCACCATAATCGACTCCCTCTATTTGCGAGTATCCCTTCGCAACCAAACGAGCTTTATATTATTCTATCTCTCCATCTGCTAATATTTTCTTCTTGAACACCCATTTGCAACCAATTGCCTTTTGATCATTAGGTAATTTTACCAAACTTCAAGTTTCATTCTTTTCTAGTGAGTCCATCTCATCTTTCATAGCTTTCTCCCACTATTTGCCATTCTTCGCGCTTCTTGCTTCCTCGACAGTACTTGGATCATCATCCATAACGGTTAGAGCACAATTCTCATTGCTGGCAAACATGGTATACCTCTCAGGTGGTTTTCTCAATCGTGTGGACCTTCTTAAGACCGGTTCAGGTAGTGCTTCAACTCCAAACTCAGTTTCAGGATCTACTACATCATCCGCCTCGTTAGGCTCATTAGCTTCAAAATCCGAATTTTCTGTTCCAACTAGTGTAGGCACTGTCTTTTCCATTAAACCAACATCTAACTCAATCGCCTGTGGTTTTCCAAGAGCTTGGCAAACAATCTGATTTGTCGTAGATTCTCTGAACACCATATCCCTACTGTAGATGATACGTTTAGTATCAGGATTCCACAACTTATACCCTTTGATACCATCCTTATACCCAACGAAGATGCACTTCTCTGACTTGCTCTCAAGCTTGTTCCTCTTTTCCTTTGGCACATGGACATATGCTTCACAACCAAATACTCTAACATGGGATATGTTTGGCTTCTTTTCAAACAGTGCCTCAAACGATGTCTGATCCTTCAAAACTGATGTGGGAGACCTGTTTTTCAGATAACACGTGGTAGCCATTGCTTTTGCCCAAAATTCAGCTTCTAAGCCTGCACCACTTAGCATACTCCTTGCCTTTTTTATGAGAGACAGATTAAGTCTCTTTACCACCCCATTCTCTAACTTGGTCTCAAGCTTGTTCCTCTTTTCCTTTGGCACATGTACATATGCTTCGCAACCAAATACTCTAACATGAGATATGTTTGGCTTCTTTTCAAACAGTGTCTCAAACGGTGTCTGATCCTTCAAAAATGATGTGAGAGACCTGTTTTTCAGATAATACGCGGTAGTCATTGCTTCCGCCCAAAAGTCAGCTGCTAAGCTTGCACCACTTAGCATACTCCTTACCTTTTTCATGAGAGATCGATTAAGTCTTTTTGCCACCCCGTTCTGTTTAGGTGTATAGGACATTGTCTTCTGCCTAGCAATGATACTGGTTGCACAGGATTAATCAAATTTCGCTAAACAAAATTCTCGTCCATTATCAATCTGTGAGACTTTGATTTTCCTATCAAACTGATTTTCCACCAAAGTTTTGAACTCGCAAAATTTTTCAAGCACATCATCTTTCCGCTGCAGAAAATATATCCGCACATACATGGAAAAATCATCGGTGAAAGAAACATAATGCCTTGATTTTCCAAACGATACTACAGGTGTAGGATCAAAGACGTCACTGTAGATCAAATCTAGAATCCCTTTCGCTCTCCCTCCTATGGATTCGAAAGATACCCAATTCTGTTTTCCATGTAAACAATGTTCACAAAATCTGAAACCGATAGAGTAGTTTGGTATTCCATCCACCATCTTCTTTGAGGTAAGGGTCATCAGCCCTTTCTCATCGATATGACCCAATCTCCGATATCATAGCATCAAAAGATCTTCTATCTACTCTGAGATATAACTCACACCGCTAATCACTGTGCTTCCCAAGAATTTCCACAATTTTCCATACCGTTTGCCTCTGGCGATTACCACAGATCTACGAGTTAGCTTGCATGAATATTTGTCACTGGTGAAGGTAATGCTAGGATCTGCCATAGTTCCCACAGAAATAAGATTCCCGGTAAGACCAGGAATATGCATCACATCAGGAAGACTCTTGATTGTCCCATCTTTCAACTTCAGCTTCACCTTTCCGCGACCAACAATATCAAGCGTCGAATCATCTCCCATTCGCACCATACCTCCTTGATATGGTTCATAACAGCATAACCAATCTCTATGAGGCATCATGTGGAAAGATGCTCCAGTATCAATTAGCCATGCACTGCAGTCACCCTGTGATGAATTGCAGACGAGTTACATGTCTCCTGTGCTGCTGTCATCATCCTTCTTTGTACTAGATGATGATGCCTCATTTCGTTTCTTTGGAACTACACTTTTGCTTCTGCAATCTTTCTTCAAGTGTCCAGGCTTTTTGCACTTCCAACACATTATATCCAATCAATCTCTACTTTTAGATTTTCCTCTGGACTTATTTCTGCCACCAAATATGGTTTTGGATTGTTCACTATTCCTTCCTCTTACGAAAAGAGCATCTTGCGTTGCACTATCAGAACCTGCTCTCCTCATCTCCTCAGATAATGGAGCAGCTATAACGCTCTCAAAGGATAACGCACTAACACCAGTGCCATTCGAAATAATCATATGTTCCTGTGAATTCAGCAATGAACACAACAAAGTACACGCTTTATCTTCCTCATCCAAATTGACATCGATTGATGCAAGTTACCCACAAATAGTAGTAAACTCGTTTAATTCTTGTTGAACCTTCGGTAGAAACCCTGCCACTGGGAACCTCCAGCAGTGTGACATCCCCATGGCGCCGTTCCAACCTTCGCGCCCCCTCAAGCTCCAGCCTCCCCTTCATGTCCTTTGACATCGGCCCCGCCACCTCCGTCGCCACCTCCACCATCTACGGTGGGGGCCCCTCCGGCACCGCGAACTTCGACGATGAGGAGCCCTTCCTCGATGAGCTTGGCATCCACCCCGAACAGATCTAGAAGAAGACCATATCGATCCTCAACCCTCTTTGCGTGAACCCGGCTGTCCACAAGGACTTCGATCTGTCTGACCCAATCATCCTGTACCTCTCGCTCTGCCTGTTCTAGTTGCTCGCCGGCAAGATCCAATTCGGCATGATCCTAGGGTGGATCGTGGTCTCCTCGATGTTCCTCTATGTGGTGTTCAACATGCTCGTTGGGTGTAACGACAAGCTGAATTTGCACACATATACGAGCGTCGTTGGGTACTGTTTGCTGCCCGTGGTGATCTTGTTGATCCTATCGAATGAGGTAATGATTGATGTGGCTGAAGAGAAGGATGCCTCAGCGTTGTGAGCAAAAGTTGAGGCACTTTATCTAATAAATGATTTGAACAATTGCTTGTATATGTTGAAAATGACGTTTCTGTTTTGTAGGGTTGAATGCACACAGATGAGTTTAATAAATTCATGATGGACTTGAAGAACATCAATGAAGCCTTGCCTCATGAAAAACAAGATATGATGTTGTTGGCATCTCTACCATATTCTTTTGAGCACTTTATAGATTCGCTGCTATAAGGGTGCACTACAATTATGGTAAATTCTACCTTGTTTTCTAAATAGTGGAAAAAGAAGTTACAAGAAGATAACTTAGCGCAAAATACGGTGCAAAGTTTGGTTATCCGAGTCAGACATGAACGAAGAGAGTTTGGAGGTAGCAAATGGAAGAGCCATTCTAAATCGAGGTCCAATATTCAAAATCGTCAATGTCATCGCTATGATGAGGTAGGGCACTACAGGAGAGATTGTCTAAAGAACAAGGCTAAATAAGTTAAGGTGAAGTCTACAAGCGATGGTAATATTGCTACTGTGACAAATATTAGTTCTAGTGATGCTAATGTTGTGTTTACAATCACCACGAGTTCATCAGGTGATGTTTAGGTGCTTAACTTTGGATGTTCTTATCATGTGACTTCTCATGGATATTAATTTACTTCCTATTAGTGCATGAAGGGTGGTAAGGTAGTTATGTGAAATGGTGTTGCTTGTGAGTGGTGAGAATGTTGATTCATGTAAGGCATGTACCGGAGCTGAGAAAAAAATATTATCTCATTAAGTGCTGTTGACAAGTT